TTCTTTCCTTAGATGTATTAAAAAGTTTTTTACACTTTCCTTTTTTGATAAACTTTTCCTTTAAAAATAATCAATTAGCCTTATTTTTTCCACTTTTTATCTTCTCTTTCCTATTTTTCCACTCTCTTTCCTACTTTTTAAACATTATTCCGTACTCTTACTATTTCTCTCTAAAATAGTGAGCCAATGTTTAATATAGTGATCTTTTAATACGGATGGATTACTAATTTCACTGTAGTTGTAAGCATTAAGTTAAAATAAAGCATGTGGAGTGAAGTCAAGCCTACAGTCACTTCAAATTATTGAACCTATAATGAAAAAATAGATATTTATGTAAAATTTATTGAAATTTGAACTAGAAGCCGATAAAATTTGGTGCATTTTGAGAACAATTGTACGGAGTATCATTTACCAAAAAAATAGTAATGGTTAAATTTGATGCTATTAATTATGCATATGCTTGCTGATTCGGTGGGTTTTGGTCTAATAAATTGGCAAAGTATTTCTCGGCCCTTACCCAACTTTGGCTTCACACCGGGGTAAAAAAAATATATATGTAGTAATGGGCGGCCAAGATTGACAAATATCTTTGTATTACTTTATAATATAAAGATATTTTTTGAAAGATTATTTTATAATTAGTAACTGTAATACAAATCCCACTTTCAACATCTTTTGTTTTTCAACATCTTTTGTTTTTTCGCACGTTTTATATTGGAATTGACTTTTTGGGTTACGACCTTGTTCGAAACCATAATGATGAATTTCCTAAAATTACCTTTATGGCCAGAAGTAACTTTGATACTACTCCGTAATCCGTATTACTCCGTATTACTTTTAGTGTTGTTTTTTTAAAATGGAGGAAACTCACGAAAGGCATGATTTTAGCATATATTTTTAAATTTTAAATTTATGAAAAATTAAACTATGATAGTGATTTTTAAATTTTGTCACCTCGTCATTAGCAACGGTTGATTTTTTTTTAAATATTGAGTTCCATCTTTGGCCGATAATTTGGTACTCATAGAATTTAGCAACTTTATTATATTACTCCTATCCTGCTTAAACTTTTCACTTACTCTTTAGAATGTTCATACAGTCATACTAAAGGTTCTTGTTTCTATTTTTTAATTTTCTTTATGATGTTCTTGTTTGTATTTTAGAAAATATTTAGTAAATAAGAACTTAATCATGAAATTATAAAAATTATACACTTATAAATCACAATAATTATCATCAATGAAATTATTATATTTTATATGTATCAAAACTAATTGTCAAAATATACTCAAATAACGTTATTTAATTATTGTCTGAATAATCGTGTCATTCTCACATGATAAACTTAAACCGGGACGGTATTTGTTGTCCGTGGTATATGTTGTTATTAAAATTATAATTATTGTTCCTCTTATCACTATTATTACTATTATTGTTATTATTATTATAGCTAAGTAATGTTAGGACCGTATAATAATTATAGTAGTTTTACTATATGGGAAAATGTACGTATTTATATCCAACTACTATTTGTTCTACTTTTGATACATTGTTTATAGTTTATACACTTATAATATAAGGTGTGTATCTAAAAACATTATATCTAATCTAAAAACATTATAATTGTGAGTGATGGTTAGTATATCCTTCAATTGTGTCAACATTTTCAATACATGAATGCTTGTACTTTATTATTAAAGTATGATACCCTAACATTGATGGACAAAAAAGCCACAAATGTCGTTAGAAATAATTAACGGCTGTTAGCTCCCAAATGCACATGTTCTATTTCAAGATTCCATAAATCTAAACAAACCCCATTCAGCATTGTCTAGGAACGTAGTAATTCTCTTACAATTGTTTTAATTACATTTTTTGCTCTTATTTTTTTCCACTTATTTAGTTTAATAAAACTATGCTTTGTTTCGTTGTATGGTTGATGGTGTTATCTATTTAGTTTGTTTTTATGTATAAAAGCTTTTATGATTATATATTTTGTCCATTACCTTTCAATTAATCAAATAATTTGGATGGAATGTGTGCATTTATGAAGAAGCACCATTGAAATGAAGAGTACTCTTTTTTCCTGATGATAATAAAGAGTACCTTTGAAATGATTTATATTTTTAATGTGGTTAATCTCTTAAAGTTGTGCTTGAAATGCATGTCTAAACTGATAAAATATACTATATTATTAAAATATTTTATACTTAAATATTCTTGGCTTTAACTTTTAGAGGGATTGTATCAATTACAAAAAAAAACACCTTTTATTAATTTATAGGATTAAAGATTTGTCTAGTAAGATGAAAAATGAACTGTTGTCGTTGAGTCTTTGTCTCTGAAAATTGAATTGCCCGAAGCTACTGAATTGTGAAGAGATTATGTTTTTTATTAAAACATGAGGAGCTTATGTTAAAATATGTTTGATTACTACAACACAGCCCAAATTCATTTTAAATAATAATTGGCCAAGTTCGTTGACAAAAACTCAAAAAAAAAAAAAACTATTGAAATACAAAAAAGTATTCATATATCATAAAAAGTGAAACTCCAAAAAAATCAAAAATCTAAATTTGTCATCTTCAGCAATTAAAATGATTTCAATTCTTTTTTGTGTACTTAGTGAAGTAGTGTTTGATAAAATCTGTATTGATAAAATTAATATGCTAAACAAAATTGCCACAGAAAATTAAAAGAAGATTTAGAAGAAGCCACATGTACAGGTTACAATTTTTTTTTTTTGGCAAAATCATTTCACACTAATATATATATATATATATATATATATATATATATATTGAAGTGCTTTGCTGCTTCAGAGCAGAAGAAATCAGCTTCTTTCCATTACATATCATGAGTTCATGACTCATGACGGTTTTACGAGATGGATAAAACCAAGAGGCTTATCACTTAAAATAAACGTTTGATGTTGATGAGGCACGACTAGAACTCAAAATAGCCTCCATTTTTGCCTTCTCCTTGCCTCCTTGGACTGGAACCTTTTGCGACATAAAATAAACACCTTCTTACATGTTGGGAAGCAAGCTATGAGTCCCATTATAAATTGCACTTCAGATTTGGACCCTTAGAATAAGTTGAGCTTTAAAGTTTGAAGGGCATTGTATCTGTAATGTAGATTGAGATGTCCTTCCAAAAGATCGGAAACACTCTCACTACAATCAGGGGAGTCTGTACAGGTTACAACTCCTATTACTCAAGACTCCCCTTCCTTATATTTTCTTGTTGTACTCAATGTAGCTATTTTTCTATAAACTAATGTGGTAAATATGAACTCATCAACAATATTAATTAATTAGTTCAAATATCAATGTCAATGGAAGATGTTTATTATATTTCGTGACTAACAATTACATGCACCATAATCGTGAATAGTTTATTAGAATATGAAGTTATTTTGATTGGTGACATGTTTCAAGTTATGATAAACTTGAGATTTTAATGTGAAATGTTGTTGTTCTAGTATAACCATTAAGCATTATTAATGTTCAAATTGTATTGTTGGGCATTGACTCTCGCGCATTGCGCGTGAAAACGCTAGTATCTATGATATGTGCTAATACTTTCCGAAATAAGGTCTCCAAGGTGGTTGATTACTGATACTCCGTTATTGATATTACCAAATATACAGGCAAATATATAACCAATTAAACCAAATACTTCGTACTATGGAGTACTCTTACTAATGATATGCGGAGTACATGGTTATGGGTATGTCGTCTAGATAGTATATATATAGAGTAATCTTCCGGTCAGGTATACCTGACCGGAGCCGCCGTCCGGCCTCCTCCTTTTGGGGACCTTCCCGGTGGTATTTTTTGCTCAAATTTTTTGTGTATGTTCCTCATCAAGTCTAGTTCATCCATACCAAATTTCAGCAAAAAATTCAATCGGGAAGGTTGTCAAATGATTTTTGCAAGTTAACTGGTCCGGAATATATATATATATATATATATATATATATATATATATATATATATATATATATATATATATATATATATGAGCAAATACTATGGAAATACTGTACCGGAGGATTGCATTTATGGACTGACAATGGCGGTCTTTTAAAGTTTTACATAAAGCTTTCCCATTATGCCCTTAAATTGGGCGGGATTTTTACCTCCAAAAATAGTAACAACTTTGCTATTTTATATTATATACTACGTATAAAGATTGATTAGTTCAAATCATTCTACTACTCATTTACTCCCATTAATTAGTATACACATTCATACATTTGTCTTACTCTTATTACTTACATTTTGTATTAACATTACTTGATTAGTTAATTAGTATTTCCACTAATGTTACATTTTTCATTAAACTAGTTAATTAGTTAATTACTATTCCCATTAATTGCTACCTTTGTCTTTACTTTAAAAAACTAGTTAATTGTCATTATAGTTAAAGTCACATTATAATAGTTTGAATTTATATTTGAACGAAAAAAGAGTAGTTCAATAATTTTATTAAAGTACTTAACATTTTATTAAAGTAGTTTTCACTAAATCAAAGTACTTGAAAAGTTGCTATGATTTAATTACTCGCATTTTAGTTAAAGTCACACTTGTTAGTTTTAAATACACAGATACGGGATGCCCATAAAACATATGAAGTCTTGTGACAAAGGCAAAACAACAACCAACAGTGGCGGAAATTCTGATTGATATTTATTAGAAAATGTATTTGATATTGTAATTTTTTTCTCAATTCTCAAATGTAGTTCCTATTTCAAATAAATGCACTTGAACTTTGTTTTTAATAAGAATTTGTATAAACTATAATTTAAAAAAAAAAATTAAACATGACCCGGCCCGGCGGGTGGCCCGCCCGTGACCCGGGCGGGTGACCCGGCCCGAACCGGCGCCAGCCATAGCACGGGCCGGTCCCGGGCCTCCTTCAAAAAACCCGAGGCCCGACCAGGCCTAGGCCTGGCCCGGGTCCATGACTACCGAAAACTATCGACATCAAACCTCTCATTCTGAAGTGGGTTCAGACTAATTTGTTCTCATAGGTGTGAAACTTGAATTACTTTTGTTTATTGGCAATTCTGGCTTAGTAGAACCTTTGCTCCACATTCCACAATAACAATAAGGACATATGTGCAACTTCTAAGAGGTGAATTTATTGAAACCAATTTACAGGTGAAATGGGGTTGGGCCCCCTATCAAGTACATAAGTAGGAACTACATGAAATAGATATGTACAAGAAAATAGTTGGTTAATCAGATGATGTGCACCTCCTTGCACTCAATTTGATCTCTCCTTTTATGTGTGGCAACAAGTAGAGCAGCACCTTCATTCACCGATGTCAAAATACTTCGGATCAGACGGGTACTGATATTCCACGTGTAGCTGCAATGCCAAAAACATGTTATCCAGTTTAGATGATCAATAGAGGGTTTCAATCATTAAGACCCGAGGTATGGTTTTAAGACAATTTACAAGGCAATCCATACATACAAGCCAGAGGATTTTATTTTATGCTTTTTACAAGTAGAAACTTCCATCGACAACTTTTTGATGGACTAATACATCTTTTGCTTGGTTTCATTATTTTTCAGAATGATCCATTGACCCAAATATGCTAGCAACATTGTCAACATGAGTCAGTAACAACTGAACACATTAGACTAATAGGACCCGCAAAAAACATGTCCTTATTCTGAAATAAATAGTGAAACAAACAGAACTATTGAAATCAATAATAAGACATGAGAGATATAAAAGACGGAAGGTATTCTCCCTCGGACCTCTCATTTTTATGCACGCCAGCACAGGTCAATAAGCACCATCTTGAATGACAGGTTATATCTCAGCGTTTGTAAATTCACCTGGCTCCAGGCGGGTTTAATGGGCTAACTAACCACCAAATGGTTTACGATCAGATCAAATCAAACCACTTTCACTTATGGGTGGCGTGTCAACTGGCCCACTCATGTGTTGCCAGCCCGTGTCTTAACACATTAACAAAAACAAAACTGAATAAAAGAGTATGAGGAATTTTTCTAGAACGACCTGTTGGGTAGTTTGATTTTTTTTATTACCAATTTACCATGAATAGTTGGCTATTGATGCACTTTTGTATTGCAAGGGATGAACAAATCATGAAAAAGATTTAAAAAAAAATAGACATTAGCATTATTGAATTTAATATCTGGTTTAGTTCCAAAGAGGATAGAAGCTTTTCCAGCCATTTGCAAACAGCTTATAGGAACTGCAAAGCTGATCATGCCATCCTAATTGTCTGGGTGTATTGAGTTGGACGTTGGTGAACCTAGGTAAATAATTAGATCCACTTCATCTTGGATCTCATTTGAATTATTAATAAAAATGGGAATATTCACCATTACTCACTCTGTTTTCATTACCCCCAACAACAGCAGCAGCAGCAACAACAACAACAACAACAACAACAACAACAACAACAACAACAACAACAACAACAATAATAATAATAATAATAATAATAATAATAATAATAATAATAAATAGGTCATGATACATACCTTGCCTTCATCGGCATCTGAATGACGTTGAGGAAACACGACTCTCATGTCGTTGTACAAGTAGAAACGTCTATCCCCTTCAATATCGGCGTTGTTTCTTGTGGGTACATATGAAGGGTCAGATTTGCACCTCAGAACTGTTTTAGAGCTCCTCTTCAAGTAAGGACACAAGAACCGTATATGGAGAGCATAGCGCAGGACACCAGTACCAGTAGTATTATCTTTTGCCTTTGAAGGACAATCAGCAGATTTGCAGCCTGTTCCAGCAAAAGGCCAACCAATGCCATCCATCACAACACTACTAGACTGGTTCGATTTTTTAGAATCTGGTAGTACATGTCCATCACTAGAATGTAAAGAATCTTCATCCTTCATAAGTGGTGGTTGCCTTCCATCATTTTTTCCCTTAGCATCCTTATGGCTGCCTTTGTCTATGTCCAAAGTTACCTTTTGCCGCAGAAATGTCTATAAACAAAATTGTGTTCACCGAGAAAGGCTCCTTGTTAGCTGACACACAAGTTCCCGAACAGGCTTATGAAAAGTATCACAGCAAGAAAGAGCCCAAAGAAAAGAAAAATGTGCCATTTAGGTATTAAAATTAAACAGCGGGTAAAAAAGTCACATTTTGGGTTTCAAGCCTTCAAAAGCTAGGTATGCAACAAGGATTCAAAAACAGCTACAAACACTTGTCACTTGTTAGCTTATATGCATAATTGCAACATTCAGCTTCACAGTATGTGCAGCTATATCTTGCAAGTTATCTATTTCATATGTTCAGCAAGCTTGAATTGGCTTACTTATAGATAGGTATGCACTAGGTACTATGAAGGACATCCCTTGTGGTACTGTCACGGTGTCACAAACAAATCATGAAAGGATGAAGGAAGTAAAGGGTATTTATTTTCAAAATCATCTTAGATTTGAATCATTTGATCATCACTTTGAACTATGCAGTATCTCTTTTTGCCTAAGACGTTTGATATTTTTAGTAGGATGCTTTGACTATCCATTTTAAGGTGAGAATGTAATTAGTTCAAAACTAAGTAACAAAGGGAACTGAATTTAAATACTAATAACCTAATAAGAACAAGGTTAAGGCGAGGGGAAACTCCATAAAGTTATTGCGCTTTGGGATCTGTTCTCATATTACGATTGAGTGACACCATTCACCCCCCTGCCCGTCGATGCAATCATTTGCCCACTAAGGCACTAACATCGGATTTTGGTTTTATTACCGGGCATCAACGAGGCCAAATCATGTATGTCAACGACTCCCTTGATTATAGAAAATCATCTCTCATCATTAGTTTGAACTTTATGTTATTTCTTTTACCGATGCTTTGGTATTGTGTTCGGATTTTGGTTACTATCTATGTTGCATGGAAAAACGAGAAATAGCTAACGTCATCTTTAAACATAAAGGAAGTGTTTGGAGAGTTCTACAAGAGTTTTCGAAACGCAAACATACTCTTTTCTCGCGAGTTTCACTGCTTCATAGGTTACTGCATGTGTAATTAAAACTCTATAACTAAAACTTAGTGAAGAGGAAAAAAATATATCCATAAACTCTTGGGTTCCATTGACTTACTTCACACATCCAACATGTATTCCTCCTTAAAGTAAGCTTTTCCAAAAATACTTAATGTGCGAGGATAAAAAGAAACAAGGAAAACTGGTCAACCTAGACAGATAAGTAGGAACAAAGTGTGTATAAGTGAAGAATATTGATAACTTGTTGGTATGTATTCATTTCATACTCCCCCTGTCCCTATGACTCAAAACTGGACGATTACAGATCAACTTAAGAGAATCCCTCTATATTTTCGTCAAAAAGTGCACCTATTCTTTTCTCAAACAGCCATTTCTATAATGATTCTTTTGCATTGCATGAATTGTTATCACATACATCTTGTAGATAGGTTGTTTCTTAACCACCCAAAACAAAGTATTGTCATCCTATCATTCTGTGTCACATCATCTAATGAATCCTCATCTTCTTCCAGTATAAAGTGATCACATCAACCAATACAGAAGTGTCAATGTAATGTTTGAACATGTGTTGAATGATTAGTCCAACACTTTTCCTAAACATTAACTCTTGAGTCTTGACAGTATAGGCTGCAAGTCTACTAGCAAAGGAAACATATAGAAGATGTCACATGCAAAGAGAAGATTGTAAAAGACCGAGAGAAGAGGATACATGAAAGATCAATCGATGCAATTCGTAAATTGTCAAAACCAACCCAGTATACATTTTAGACCTACCTTGGTGCCAGCTGGCATTTCAGTCAAATCATAGTTACAGAAAAATGTATGAATGGGAGTCCTTTCCGGATTGCTGAGAACCTGAGGAACATGTCATTATCATCGTAAACATCATTCTTGCCACATGATCAAAGCAAAATCATTACAAAATTTAAGAAAAAACACTTAAATGTAGAAGCACGGAAGAATAACACAGAAAAAGAGGCACGTGTTTAGCTCGGATGCAGGGGATCAATGATTAACTACTGGCAGAAGTTAAAATATGTTTCCGCACCCTAACTCAGTATATTTACGAACAACATTTGTTCTTCTCAGTTACATGCTCTGATTACAAAAATACAATAAGAACTTAAATAAAAATTAGAAAAATTATAGAGATTATAATACCATAGATATTAGTATATTTTTAACCAGAATAGGTCAGTTGATATTATAAATGGAAAAGCGACTCAATGGTCCTAAATACCCTTACACCCTCTAAGGCCACAGACTCAATGATCCTAAATACCCTCTACCACGAACACCTCCTTCTCCGGTTTTGCGTCCAGCCACATGGGCTTCTCCAACAGCAATGCCCTACACAACCACTCCTCTGCAAGAAATGCCCGCTTGTTCAATCTCACATCTGACCACACATCCTTCTCCAAAAAGTGAAGCACCATACCATCTTTCATTCTTTCCTGCTTTGACAAGCAACACACCACGCCACCTCTCGTTCTCCTACAACAGATGTGCTACGCCACCTGTCCTATATCCAGTTCATCAGTTTTCCTTTTTCATCAAGCGCTGCTCATCGTCTTAGTTTTGCAGTGACAGAGGCTATTTTATTTCCAAGAACCAAAGCAAGATGCAAAAGAAAAGCGGCATCTCTCTTGGAGTAGTTGTACTCAAACACAATTCTAACGTGTCCAGAATACTAAATAAAGGACTAATGCTCATGTTATATCGCTACTCAAATACTAAAATCTCAGTATAGAACACTCAGCAAAACAGTCTGTGCAATTATGAAACCAAAGGATAGTGCACACTACACTCGGAAAAAAGAAAGGCTACAGAAACGGAGTGCTGTCCTCAGACCGACGAATGACTGAACAGAAAAATTGGTCCTGCCCTCACACTGACAGACAAAGGAAGTAACACCAACTTCCTTGCTAAATGGGAAGAAAAAGAGGAAGTAAACTGCTCAAGGATAACTTCGGAGAAACTACAACCATTAAATACTCATTTATTGCTTCTTATCATGTGCTGTTATGAGCACACTTCAGAAAAACCATCATATACAAACGCAAAAACAGAGCTAGGCGGCCTGTGTACTAGTTTATTAGGGCTCTCTTCCGCCAACTGGTGTCTTTATAGCAGTGGAATAGAGGATCTGTAATACTTTAGACCTTACTTGACACAAATCAAACAACGGATAAGACGAGAAATCTTGTTATCATATTTCCTGGACTTGCTGATATCCTTTTGCATCAGAACTGTGTGAGCATCCAGCTTTCTCTAATTAATGCTTCTTCTTTCCATAAGTGACTTTACATCATTTTTTTTATTTAAAAAAACGTTTTATTTTACTATCAAAGATTTGGCATTTCGAAGGATGAATAGAAGAAAGTACCAGTTGAATACGCCCTTTCATAGGTATACGCAAACGGCCACAATTCTTCTGAGAGTCATTAATTCCAAGGCTTCTCTTCATTTTAGATACTTTACCCTCAGTAGTAGATAAATGTCCTCCAAGATGTATGGATGAGTAATATACCAAATAGTTTCCACCATCCACACTTGTTACTGAAAAAGGAAGCTTTTTTGGATGTGGAGAGAAATTCCCTCCAGAGATACTAAGAACAGCAAGAAAGCCCTCAATCTTCTGCAGAAAAAACATAAATACTAATGAACACCTTAACTATAAGAAGTTCTTTATCGAGGGAAATCAAAGAAATACTCCGTATTTAAGAACAGATCAATGAAACTAAGCACCGCAAATTAATAAAGAAGACCAACCTGGCTAACAGTTTCTGGTGCCAAACGTCCAGAAAATAATGACTCCTCAAATGAACCAACTAATGACCTTCTTACAGTGAGTCCACTTAGTGATCTACCTAACCTGGCACGCTGACTTGTTTGGATGGGACTTGGTCTACAATTTCCTCTCATAGTATTCATACCATCAATAGTAAATTGCTCAAAGTTCATTGGAAAGTCTTCAACATCTAAATCTATTTTGATTCCCATTCTGGACTTATCTTCTTTCTCAGAAGACAATGTATCTAATAAAGTCCTGTCAAGTGACTCTTTAACATCATACTCCATCCACTCATGCCTATGCCATTTGGAATCTCTTATTCTCCTACAGCTATTAGGTCCAAGAGGTGATAGAGACATTGGTGGAGAGTATGAAATTGTATTCTTCATGTCTATCCCTCCATCTTGGATCGAAACTTTGGGCATTCCTCCATGGAAGTTTAGTGAGGCAGGGGTAAAGAGAGTCTTAGAGAGTGGCTGTTCATCATCAAACAAGGGGCCATCTGTAATCATAAAGGAGTTCGTCTTAAAATATTCAGCTGGAGGGCTATTTCTTCCTGATGCATATGGTGTAGACCAAACTTCAAAGTTGTTTGAGCTCCTCATATTTGCTTTCTTGTGCTCTTGTAAGGAAATGCTATGGGTGTCATTATTTATATAAGACGTACACGCAAAGCTAGTGCTACCGCCAATATCTAAAGACTCACCAATAAAGTGATCAGAAAGAACCATGTCATTCAAAGGTGACAATAATCGTTTCCTAACTGCAGAACTGCTGGTCTCTGGAATTCTGTTGGTGATGCCCAGCCTGGCAGATGGATTAATACCATCTGATGAGTTTTCTCTGTGCAAACTGACTGGTTTGATAGAAGTTGTTGACTCAAAACCAACAATCCTTGAAGCAGGGTTGTGAAGTTCCCTTCCAACATTGCGAACTAAGAGACTATCCTTTTCAGCAGAACCAATCCTCAAGTTATGCATGCTAATTATACCATCTTTACGAATACTGGGAACATCGGGATGCTTTATGACCTCCCTTGATGCAGCGCCAGAAAAATCAGTTGGGGGTGTTCGGCTGTTTAGTTGACCGATGATCATCCCACTCATATCGCAGCTGCTAGCAGCTACAAATCTAGCGGGTGTTTGTGTATGTGTGCTCAAAGATGAGCCAACTTCTTCTGCATAATTATTGGAGGCTACTTTAGGCAAACCCATATATGTGATATATTTTTCCTCAAATTACTCTCCTAACAGCCTTGCCTTAACCCACTGCAATAAAATAGGCTCTACCACATCATTCAATTTGCATTGCTCTATGTCAAACCTGCATAGCTCCAACCCACCACAGAAATGAAGGGGTGTAGCCAGCTATAGTTCAATCGGCGACGACTAGGGGCTCTTAAATAGAACTAGAATACGCCTATCCAGCCATCATATCAATCAATATTAAACACCAGTATGTATCTGCAAAATGCGTCACCATTCTAAAATCAGCTTCTATGGAAAATCAACCACTAAGTTTTAAACACGTCCCAGATGCTGAATCAAGTAAACATGAAGAAAACCCAGGCCTTCATAACAAAAATTGATAAATCAGTCAACAAGATCATGGAAAATCTTGAAAAAAGGCTATGAAAACAGGAAGAACTTCTCTTTGTTGACTGGTACTGATGGGTAATTAAGAAGTTATTGGCAGAACAACAAATATTTAAACAAAATCTCACTCATCCGACCATACGAGAAGGCAATCACAAGTTTTTTTTTTTGGATTAGAACAAGATGATCTTAGAGGAGAGTTTGTTTGTGCAATATAAAATTGTCATGTCAGCTGGCTTAATCGAGGGTGATTTCAATTACATTTTCATGTTCCACCCTTTAAAGCCTTCAGAAAAAAAATCATGTTGTTTCCTGATTCCCTTCCCCAATTTTTTTACAAAAAAATATTACAAAACCATATACTCCGTATAAAAAAACTTTCGACGTCAAAGGGACACATTTTTACAATCATCAGCAGAAGAAAAAATATGTACGAAAATACCCCCACCCCTATACCAGTAAAACTTCTTCCGATCAACATCTTCTGCAATGACAGTACGACAAAGCGAGGCAATGTATGCGTATAACTGTATATTTAATATTTTTGATGTGCGTAGAAACTGAAATTCCTACAGAAGAAAATATAAATAAATGATACTGCTGTATATGAAGCAGGTGTTTTCTCTTGTGCCTTCTCCCTCCATTTATCTCTAGTTCTGTGGTCATACATACAGTTTTGGGGGTTTAGTAATACTTCGGAAAATTGAGAGATATATGGATTGGGTATGGACTACGGAGCCACGATGGAATCAAAACAATACGCCAACAAGCGTGTATCCTATTTCCCCTTATTTAAGTCTTTTATGTCCTTGTTTATTTGAGTTTTTATGAATTTTTGAAAACGTATCTTCTATTACCTCATTTTATTATTTTAATCCGCCTCGTTAAGATTGTCTCATACCAAATTTGGCAAAATTTGTATGGCTCTAAATCATTCTTACTTTATCATTTCAATATCAACCACATAAACTATTTTTTATTAATTTGCGTGTCACTCCCTCTTGTCGCATTGATAGTGGGACGGATGAAGTATTTTTTTTAGAATAAAATGTGGATTTTTTATAAGAATATTACTAAAATAAAACTTATTAACATAAATATGACTATTCATTACTACAACGTGGTGTTGTAGTAACTTAAGTTCAAAACTTGAACATGAATTACTATGATTTCATTACTACTTTAGTAACTAATCATATTTTTGTAAATCATCTTTATTTTGGTCATATTTATGTAATTATTTCATAAAATGTACTAGTATCTTCTATTCTTCTAATAATAATGCTTTTAAAAGAAAGTGAAATTCGAGGTGGGCATTGTAATCCAACCCGCAACCCGCATCGAACGGGTAAATGATATTCAAGTGAATATTGGGTATTTAGATGGTCTATAAATTTTTATCCCGAATTGAAACTGTGTCGTTTGAAACGGGTTCGGATCCCACATATTTTGAGAATAAAAAATATTTGATCGAACAATTTAAAAGTAATACATTTTATATTTTTCCAATCCAATAAGTCTCTTGTCCAGACCAACAACTTTATAGCTCAAGTGGTTTCATTCATCTTTAAAATAGCTAAATGCATGTGTTTATATAAATTTTGTTATTCGTTCTTTTTAAACAACTTATGTAAATTTTTTAAGTGAGCCGACGTTATGTTACGTTAGTTGCTCAGTGATGTTTTGTACTAGTTGGAGTTCATAAGGGGGAATCATGGAGATCGATGTCTCTCGCTCAGAATGAAACGTGGTCGGATTTGTGGAATCGGCGTTTAGCTTTGTTATTTGATGTATGGTAATTGGAATGTTTGAGTTCAATGGCTGGCTGGAAAGACGTGGTTACGAGTCTGAGAGTAGCCGCAAAGGCGGGGTACGCCCTCCTCTTGAACCGCCGCCCCGGAGTGGCCGCGTGGCTAGAATTTGGAAGACGACACTTCAAGATCCGCCTGACATTCTTGAAGCAGTATACATCTACTAGTTTTGGCTTTATTTTAATTTTTTGTGTTGGTCAGATTGTTATGTTGGTTATGTTTTTGTTTTACTTCTGTCAGACTCTAGAGTTTGTGTCGGGTTATGGAAAGTCTATTTTCACCGTCTTTGGCTCAGTTATAGGATCAACAAGTCATATTACTTTTTGTAAGGTGATTTTCTCTGAGTCTGGTACGAGAGCTAACGGTTGGGAAGGGGCATTTTATCGTTTTGTTACTTGTCCTAGTTCCTATTATTTAATACAAGTCACCTTCTTTATGATAAAAATAAATAACTTATGTTACATTTTGTATAGATTGAAAAAATGCTAAAAATTTTAAAACCATTAATCACTATTAACTTCCAATATGTAGTGTATATGACTATTTGTTGTATCATATTTGTGTGATTTTGAAACTTAATTATATTGTTTAAATCTTAACTCCGACGGTATAAGAATGAATTAAAACTAATATTCAACCAATTACAAAGGAGAAGATTGTGAGTTTTTTATTATATTCAACAATTTAATTATATTCTTTTTAAGTCTTTGCATGAATTTAATAAAGAAATAAAATAAAAACATATTATTGGTATATTTTTGCCTTTAAATTTGCATATACTCTAACAGTGCAAACAATAGTTGGGATTATTACAATCAATTTTTCCAAGATTATGAAAAATTGATTATAATAATCCCAACTATTGGCGGTCAGCTTATAATATCCCAACTATCAATTATTTCTTAATAATCCCAACTTTAGGGACCTTCCGCCAATAATGGTCCGACGTGATCGACTATAAATAAATTCCTATAGTTTCTAAAGAGATATAGCATGTAGTTCCTATAAAAAAAATCCCAAATTTTAATTTTTATGCTTAATTTCTATTAAAAATTCACATGTTACAGCAGGTAATATGCGGTCATGGACCGTTATTGGCGGAAGGTCCTTAAAGTTGGGATTATTCAGAAATAATCGATAGTTGGGATTATTATAAGCGGACCGCCAATAGTTGGGATTATTACAATCAATTTTTCCTAAAGATTATGTCTATTTAATTGGCATATCATTGTTTTGCTACATTTTTCCTTAACTGTGTTTGCATTGTTAGAGTATATGCAAATTTAAAGGCAAAAATATACCAATAATATGTTTTTATTTTATTTCTTTTTCAACCTTTCATGTGAACTAACTGATGTGATGGAATATACCTATTGCAAGATTTGCCAAAAAATCCTTTATTTGACATTGTATCATACCGTATTGTGTCATTTCGAAACAAACAGGTACCAAATAGTTCCAACCTAAAAACTAGAGCGTACTGAATCGTTAGAAATCTCGCAAGTCCATTACGAGCTTTACTAATTTATCGAACAATACCGGACTGCGCCCTAAAATGGTACTCCCTCCGTCCCGCAAAATAGTCTCCGGTTTCTTTTTTGGGTTGTCCCAAAAAATAGTTCACATTTCCCTTTTGGAAAGTTTTGTGTGGCTCACATTCATTTACCTTTTTTTTACTCAACCACAACCATACATTTCCACTTTATTCCCACTTTCTTAAACTCCAATCCAAGTCAATGCGGGAACTATTTTATGGGACGGAGGGAGTAATATTTAACGCGCAAAGAATGACAAAAGATATACATGTATATATACGCATACATAGGAGTGAGTTCAAGTAAAAAATAATCTTCGCATGAAAAGTGAGAACAAATTAGCATTTGCTCACTTATATATGAATGGATTAGATGTACTTTAATCACAAGATACAGACTCAAATAATGTGCATTTATAGTACAAAGTGGATATTAGATGAATAAAAGTGCACTCATTAGATGTTCATAAAAATTGTGAACATTTTATATCAATAGCCAAGAGTAGTTCTTATTTTCCACCTAGAAAACACTTTTTATTTGATCCATATTACATACACACACACACACACACACAGAGAGAGAGAGAGAGAGAGATAAATGATCCAGGCCAGCAGCTCCCGGTTCGAACGCCGTCCGAACATGACCATTTGGAGCACTTTCCGGTGGAATTTTTTGATGAAATTTTTTGAGCATGTTCTTCATCAAGTCTAGTTTATCCATACCAAATTTCATATCAAAATTCGATCGGGAAGGTATTCAAATTATTTTTTGCAATTGACTGCGTCAAAATGTACATATAAAAACGCAGTCAACTTCAAAAAATGATTTGAATGCCTTACCGATCGAATTTTGAGCTGAAATTTGGTATGAACAAACTACACTTGATAAGGAACATGCTCAAAAAAATTCATCAAAAAATTCCACCGGGAAGTGCCCCAAACGTCCATATTCGGACGGTGCTCGAACGAGGAATGTCCATTATATATAGAGAGAGAGTGTGTGTGTTCAAAGTTAATATGTTGATATGATGTTGTATATTGATGACTTAGATGTATAAATGTATTGCATGCATTGATTTTAAAATAAGATGAAGTATATTGCCATATAGCTGAAAATATCAACATCTTCGGTAAAGAATCTTCGGAGCCCATTAAGGCAAATCCGGTCGAGACCACTAAGGCCGAGCTCAAGTCCATCTATCAAGACATCAAGTCATTGAGATAAGGGACTAACCAAAAAAAATCCAAAAAAAAAAGATTTGGTATATTTTGTTTCAACTAATTAGGGTTGGACTCGGGCCGGGCGGCCCGGCCCGGTCACTGTTTGAACCGGCCCAGCCCGGCGGCCCGGCCCATGGGCGGTTCGGGTCGACCCAGCCCGGTGGCTACCGGTTCCGGGCTCGGGGCTTCATTTTGGTGAACCGGCCCGGCCGGTTCGGGCCCGGTCCGGGCCGGATTTTTTTTTTTATTTTTTTGGATTTTTTTTTTAGTTTTTGGGTTGGATTCGGTATTTTGGGCCATTTGAGGTGGTTTGGGGTTGAGGGGGAGGCCGGGAGGGTAGGGGGTTGATTAGGAAAACCCAAAACAAAAAAAAATATATAGAACCGAACTGGGCCCGGCCCGGCCCGAACCGGACCCAAGGTTACCCGGGCCAATTCCGGGCCTCCCCTACCTTGAACAGTTGAACCGAGGCCCGGCCGGTTCAAGGCCCGAACCGGGCCCGGCCCGGAACCGGTCCACCCCTACAACTAATGGTTGTATTTCTAAATTTAATCCAAAATAATATATTACACCATTACTTATATTATAAAAAATTAAGATTCACAAGCCATCAACCCAGATCATCAAACTAAATAAAATCGAGCAAACTAAACCAACAAAAATAATCCAAAAGAACATTCGGTATATTTTGCTTCAACTCATGGTTACATTTTAAAAATTTAAGTCCATTGAACTATTGAAGTGGTAGTTGAAATATTTAGGATAATACTCCATTTATAATTTACACAAAAGGCATAATCAATCATTCATCATACACAAAAGGCATAATCAATCATTCATCATACACATGCAGACGTACTGAGAGCCCATTTGACAGCCGCACATTACTTTTCATTGTCATTTTAAACTTACCAGTGATGGTCACTTTCACTTGAATACTGGAATTGAAATAACTGGACTCTTAGAGCCCATTTGGTAATTCTCTCAAATGGTAGAATGAAGAGTCTAGTGAATTTTCTGTCAGGAAAAAACGTCTAGTAAACCCAACAGCAGCCTGTAAGTCAAATGCTACTTATTCTACTTATTCTGACTAGTCAACAAAATCAGCAAATGAATGCTATCAAATGCAGCCTTAAAGTGTAAACGAACACCAAATTATAATAGTAGACGTTACCTGAAAAATGAACGCTTTGTTAGACTATGATATGATATTGGTGACATAAGATCGGTGCAGGAGAGAACAAGGGCAAAAGACTACATAATTTTAGACCCAAGGGCTACAAATGCTTACAATATTCATCGAACACTTTTCTCTCTATTTTTGTTTTTTGTTTCTATCCCCCCACATCTAGGTTGCATATCTAGCAGCAGTAAAGGAACTAGCCCGAGCAAAGCCTTTCAAGAGCGGAGTTTTCATCTCCATCTACAAGTTCCAGAGTACTCCTAACCTGGGCTTCAGGGAACCCCATCTCCACAAGTCTGTGCACCTTTTCATCAAGTCCGAGAGAGGGTTTGGCAAAAGCATCTGTCCAGTACCGAGCAGTGCCAAGAAAGGTGTTGTGATCTCTCAGATACTGCACATGGAAAACCCAAGGATCAGTGGCTAGAAAAGAGATCGTTTCGTTAGAGGATTGGGTGGTCATTTCAACAACTCTCTCTATATGCGTATATATGTACAGCTTTGCAGAAAGCCATAGCGGAAAATAACAAACTGCATTAATAGGCTGATAACCAAGACTCAAGAGGAATACAACTACAAGCTCTAACCTGTTCTGCAACCACTGCATCCTGTGGATCATCTGGTTCAGGAGCAGAGAGCAGTGCTTGTATAGAAAGGAGCGCAGTCTTTAGAGTAAGTGCTGGGCTCCACTGGTCTTTCAGGATGTCTAGGCATATTGCTCCACTTTGACTACTTATATTGGGGTGCCTTCAAAAGGCAATCAATTGTACAGATCATAAAATAAATTATTTCTGAAACTTGTGGAGAACTTTTTTACTATCATATTTTAAGATGAAAGTGAATAAAAAACTTGATATTACATTTGAATAACTGAATAGCAACTGCATTGTATTATTTGTATTCACTAATACAGATACACGAATGACCAGAAATATAACAAATTTGATATTAAAAAAAACATAGAATTCATGAAACCCCCTTGGCCCCTATAATAATAAGCATGTTGCTTGTCAATTCCTAATCTCCATATTATACAAAATGACTGTTTCACATCAAAAGATTGTTTCCCACCAGAAGTGCTTCTACACTTCTGGCAGAAACAGCATAACATGACAGGTTAAAGGACCAATAAGTGTAAAAGAAAAAGACAGGTTGTTCTGGTAGATCTTACCAGCTCAACAAGTGGAGTCTAGAGGACACAAATATAAATTCACTTTCTTCATGTTTCTAACGAGGAAATACACAACTGATACATGAACTTGCAAAAAATGCTGAGGTCAAATTGTGGAAGTCCACAAAACTATAATTTTGTGTTTTTTGTTGTAAAAGTATTGAATGAACAAAAAAACACAAAACAAAAGAAGATGACACACAGGAAACCAAATCATGACTAAGTGAAGACAAACCCAAACCTTTTAGACTCTCATGAATCACTATAATTTTTTTAAAAAACTTAAATAAGGCAATTCATATTGAAGTAATCTTTGAATCTTTCACAAGCTTGATGGCTGAACTCGAAGCATTAAAATAAGATACCACTCTCTGTCTTAAAATAAAAGGGACAATTACTTTATGGACAGGTTAGATGAAAACATAAAGAATGTGATGTATATTCCAAAAATGTCCCTCAAATAAGGAGAACAGCTCAAGAGTTTAAAAGCTAAAGGATAGTAAGAGTGCATTGAGGAAAGACTATTTTTTTATTTTTGTGAAGAGGACTTTCTTTTGCGATAGAAGAAAATAGAACGGATCAACAAAGGATGTTGCATCAATATGGCTAGACAGCACATGTAGAACTTAGGCCCTTACACTATAAGGGTAATATGCAATTTCATGATTTATGCATGTTATCATATAAACATTGAATCAGCCATACAGTAGATGTATAATTTAAAGACTATTGTTCCAGTCTTCAAGAGCAACAAGTGTGACAGCGAGAGCAATGTAGCACCAACTACCAATCAATATCTCAGGCATGAGATGTATCTTGTCATTTCTATGTGTGATGTGTTGATGGGAGCAAATTAGCAGCCAATTTGAAAGAAATACAAATCAAAGGAATCAATCATTGACTCATTGTGAATTGTGGATGTATGATAAAAAAATCAAGGAGTACTGCAATATATTCATGATTTCATGGGAATGATTTTCCAGCTCCACAAAAGTCTGAAGCAATGAAACAAGATTTGAAGTGATATCATTTTAGGGTATAATGAAGCTGCTGGTCATACAAAATCATTTTTTCAAGGAATTTGTTAAAACTCATTGAGCAAATGAATTTCTCAAAAGTTTAAAAAGTAAAATTTACAATAGCTGTGCCTTGACAAAACTAAAATGTTCCAAGTTGGTCAACAGGTTTTTTCGATGGAGAGCACCTTTTAGTTTACAACATTTTCATACTGCGCCTTAGGTAAAGCACACACCTGTTGTATTGTATTAGAAAAATCCAATACAACAAACATCATCATTCACTATCCCATGACGCAGTTCAACCATTATCATCTTGCTTGTTATATACTCCCTCTGTCCCCCTTATATTGTCCCGTTTTACCTTTTTGGGATGTCCCACTAATATTGTCTCATACCGTATTTGGTAAAGTTTGTGTGGCTCCAAATCATTCTTACTTTATTTTTACTTTATCAATTAATATCAACCACACAAACCCACTTTTCTTAATAATCATGCCACCTTCCTCCGTACCAATATAAAAGGGACAGAGGCAGTATTACATTAAGTCAATAAGTGCATCAAGTAGTATATATTCTCATAGTAGTTTATAAACATTAAATAATGAACCACTTTGAAGAAGGTTTGCAGTAACTTTGAGAAGATATCAACATAGCTAATGGTCGAATGTTTGACCTGCTGGAGAGTTATGTTCAGGCTCTTGTGAGAGTATATAGTGAGTCTTGTACTATCTTTAATATAGTACTTGGCATTTATCCTTCTATTACATTCATGTCTTATTACTGAGTTATTATTTGAAGTTGAGATGTCAAATAATAAATGCCAAGTATTGTCCATGAGACATGAATGTATTTTGAAGAAAATAAACATCTTCAGTTACATTAATAGCTCATTACAGAGTTACTCTTGCTAAAAAAATCAATAATGCGGTGTTATTGAATGGCAATATCATCAATGCATAAAATACTAATTTGAGTGTCACAGCGTGAGGCATCTTGTCTTGGAAAAGCAGAGCATCAGTATGCCTTAGGATACGAGAAGGAAAAAAGTATTTTAAAAAGAGAGTAGTCTAAATACCAAATACCAACTAATGACAAGCATGACCAATAAGTATCATTAAAATTAATACTACGTAGCATAATAGTAAATAATGGATGCTAAAAAGTCTAGAAGTCCGTCAAGTCCAAAACAAATCATAATTCATGACTCAAGTTCAAAGACAGAATGAAACCACCCATAAAATGAGAATCTAAGTTGTGTGTGTGTGTAGTTTTATTTTCTATTAGTGTAGTGCCTCCACTCAGTCAGTGAGATAAGGAACCATAGTAAACTTGATGGAAAGATACAAAATGTGATTTTACCCCATCTAAATGAAAAAATTCAGAGAGAGGGCACAAATGGGAGACTTTTGCAAAGTTGGGGACACGACTTGATCAATTTTGAAGTGAACTTAAACAGTATATATTGGAATTAACTCAAACCAATAGCTAAATACAAAGAAATAAAGGAGAAAGGAACATGTCTGATGCTAAAAGGTGAACAAAAACCAAGAGCAAGAAATAACAGAGAGAGAAATAGGAAAGAAAAAAGGCAAGCTAAGAAGAAAAGACTTAATAGTAGGGCTGGGACTTGGGAACCAAGAACCAAACCGGACCGGACCGGACTGAACTGTTATGACCCGGTTCGGTTCGGTTCCAACATTTATTAGTTACTTGTTAATGGTTCAGTTCCTATTTCTTATTATCGGTTCGGTTCTTGGTTTCTAGAAAAAATATGTACCTAGAATCATTAAGGAACCATTATACATAATAATTTAAAATTTATATATTTCTTATTAGTATATATATTTTAATGTATACTTACTTGTTTATTTTTATATTCCACTGACTATTTTAGTTTAGTTATTTAAGAATTTAACATTATTACTTATTTTAACGAGTACCTCTAAGGCTCTTAGGCCTTTTATTAGAGGCTCAGATGATCGGAATTGAGTGCTCTCCTCGTGACCCTTTGAGATGAATGGGACTAATTACGTTACTGATTCAAGATCATAATTATTGATTGTAGTGAATATGTTGTTTTGTTTCATTTACTAAAATTTTCAGTTTGGTATTTATTTATGTTTTAAACTCAACTTTTGAGGTTTGAAATGATGGTGAACATATTTACATTTCTTGTAATTTCAAACATTGAATGTTTTTCGGCACAAATTATATTTAACGGTAATTTGTCAAAAAAAAATTAAACCAGGAACGGGTTAATGACAAGAACCGAACCGTTAAGAATGGTTTGTTTCCATATCGGTTCTATAAAAAAATTATAAGAACCGAACCGTTATTAAGGGGGTGTTTGGAACTGGTTCTGGTTCTGCTTCTTTTTTAAAGCAAAAACAGAATTAGAATTAGTTTTTCAGAAGGTGAAAACTTCTAAAATAACTGATTCTAGGAGTAAATTAGAGCACCAGAATAACTTCTGCACTTTCACCCAAACACTCCAACTTCTGGGAGCAGAAGCAGTTTTAAGAATCAGATCTAAACACCCCCTAAGATTTGATATTTTTCAAACAGTTCCATCTATTTTACCTAGGAACCGAGCCGGTCCCAGGCCTACTTACTAGACGAAGTCCAAAAAAGTTGCAACTCTGCAAGGAGGAAAAAGCAATGGCAGGATGCAGCTTTAGAAATTGTGTTATGAATTTTTAGAAAAAGAGAATGAGAAATAGGGTTCACATTCAAATCCCACAGCATAAAAAGACCATCTTTGAGTAATGCAAATGGTGCACAACCTTCTTGCTCATGGAAGACACTTATGTACTCTTTGTTCATCTTTAAGTACATAGGCCCAAGAGCGTTTAGTGAATGTGTTTCTTGTGTGCCACAGCGCTCGCTTCGATGCCTTTATAAAGTTTTATTAATTACCATTCCACATTAAGAAATATACTTTGTGTCCATTTTTATGTGTCATTAATTTCCATGATAAATACTACGGGGTATTTAATAAAGAGATCACATTAAATGTTCCATGAATGGTAGCTTGATCTATCACAAAATCGACATTTTTGAAGCATTAAACTCCAAAAATCTCTAAAATCAAGTTCAAAGTTTCGACAAAGCTTAAGATTCAGATAGCATGGATCCATTACGATCTGTTATGATGCTACTACATGCAACGAAATTAACTGTATAATAAATTAGATTATACAACAGAAAAAGTAATTCACCATACCAGACTTTTGTGGTAAATTTCATCTTTGGAGGTTCAAATGGGTACCCATCTGCAAGAAAAAGAGTAAAGAAAATCAGAAACTGACAAGGAAACACTCGAATTGCATTTACTATTTTTGCAATTCCACTTAACTTCCCTCCACTTTAAGTGGCTTATCTGTTGTATACTTATACCCTTTGGGCATAGATAAACTACAGGTACATAACCTCATAAATCCAAATTCCCTATGAAATGATCACTGTAATTTAAAGTTCTTAGGAAAACTGTAGCAACATTGTTACCGATTGTTACCCTTGAGGACTAAGGAGAACATCAACAAATCCTATTCATTTACACTCGATAACCAATTAACCACTCAATTCAATGTCAAAGACCACCATATATAAGTCAGGACTAGATGCTTAGCCCAGTCGTGGTAAGTTTTAAAAGCATGTTGCGGTTAGTTAGCAAAAAAAAAACGCGTTGTTAGTTAAAAATGCACATGATTAGCAACTCAGTAACGTCATCAACAGGAGAATTTACCAAAAAATGCTAGATAGTTAATAATTACAAGTACAAAAGGTTATAAGTTTAACATGAATTCATGTATATGTTATACCTTCCCGTAGAAACACGTATGCACACACCACTACAGGCTATAACTTCACAAAACCCTAGAGAACCTTGTCAAAAATCAATCATGAAGGAAACACTACTTCCTTCAGATATCAACACTTGTATTGGAAAGAAATGGAGGATGTCCGAGTGGATACATAATCAGAATCAGAAGAAATTAAGAATACCAGGCAGAATTATGTCGATCTTAAAAATGCCCCCTTCATAGGGAGTACCGACAGGTCCAGGAATGGTGCCGTTGAGATGGGTTAAGCTATCGCCGCTGGGAGTGACCTGTATGCCCGAAACCTGCACGTTTCTGTTGCACTCTTGCAGCTCCTTCTGCACCCGACCCAAGTCCACCATTTTCCTCTCTCTCCCGATTCACACCAACCCAAGGCTAGCCTGCACAGTAAACGAGCTTCGCCTCGAACACCCGCCGCTATCTCTCTCTCTAGTTGCTCTCTGCTACAGTTCCTGCGGCCGCTGCTATGTCACCTTTACCGAGAGATACAGAAAGATGAAGGTACACGTATTATGGGGTGCACCGAACAGTCGAACACTACAGATTTAAAACTAGGAAAAAGTTTTTGTCAAAAAAAAACTAGGAAAAAGTTTTTGTCATCCAACATTCATTAAAAAGTCAATTAAGTCCTTCTATAGGAGACTATGTCCGGTCATCACGATTTGGGGCGGTTCCCGGTGGAATTTTTCGATGAATTTTTTTGAGCATCTTATTCATCAAGTCTAGTTTACTCATACCAAATTTCAGCTAAAAATTTAATCGGGGACGCATTCAAATTAATTCGAGAACGCAAAAATGCGCAGTTATCTTCAAGAATTAATTTGAATGTGTTTCCGATTGAATTTTTAGCTGAAATTTGGTATGAGTAAACTAGACTTGGTGAATAAAATGCTTAAAAAATTTCATCAAAAAATTTCACCGGAAACTGCCCCAAATCGCGACGGCCGGACAGAACCTCCTATAGAAGGACTTAATTGACCTTTTTATGAAAGTTCGAGGACCTATTTGACAGTTTTCCCAAAAAAAACTAGGAAAAAAGGAGGCTATGTAGAGTTTTTTGACAAAATTTTTTGAACGTATTATTCATTAAATCTAGTTTACACATACCAAATTTCAGTTAAAAAATCAATAGCATTCAAATGAATTATTGAAGATAATTGCGCAGTTAAAAGCGCAGTTATCTTTAAGAATTCATTCGAATGTTTTCCTGATTGAAGTTTTAGTTACAATTTGGTATGAGTAAACTAGACTTAGTGAATAGGATGATAAAAAAAATCATCAAAAAAATCTACCGGGAACCGCCCCAAATGGCAACGACCGGACAGTAAAAACTTATTTGACCATTTTTATGCAATTTCGAGGGCCAATCTAACCTTACCTCTAGGAAAAAGTTACAAATATGCCACTCATAACTTCGTGAGCAAACTTGGCATTTTTTAGATAAACTTACAGGGATAGAAATTAGAAAATATTACTTCCATTCAATTTAGATGTAAAGGGGAATTTAACTATTACTTTTTCACTCCATCTTAAAAAAATAGGAAAACTGTTAAATAGGTCCTCGAACGTTCATAAAAAAATCAAATAAGTCCTTATATAGGAGGCTCTGTCCGGCCATCGCGATTTGGAGCGGTTCCTGGTGGAATTTTTTGATGAATATTTTTTATCATCTTATTCATCAACTCTAGTTTACTCATACCAAATTAATTTGAATGCGTTCCCGATTGAAGTTTTAGCTGAAATTTGGTATGAGTAAACTAGACTTGATGAATAAGATGCTCAAAATATTCATAAAAAAATTCCACCGGGAACCGCCCCAAATTGCGACTGCCAGACAGAGCCTCCTATATAAGAACTTATTTGACTTTTTTATGAAAGTTCGAGAACCTATTTGACAGTTTTCCCTAAAACAATTGATTTTTCATGTCATTTTCTTTGAAAATTATTTGACTTGCACTCTAATTCAGAATATTTTCTTCACAAAATATTATAGGATATGACACAAAGTCATATTTTTTTAATAGAGTGTAAAGTCGAATATCACCTAAAAGTATGGTGTAAAGTCAAAATTTCAACCATAACAATTGTGAACTTTATACTCCGTACTATTCACAAGTTTTACTTTTATTATATTTTAGAATTATTAGCTAAATATATCCTCAACTATCATCAAATTCACAAATCTATCTCATACTTTCACTTTTATTAAAATAGATTCAAACTTCAACGTTTCTCACAATTATACTTTCAATGGATGAATTAGTAAAACTTAAGATGGAAATCATATTTATATGGAAAAAATGACATTAATAATCCTAACTATTACCGGTCTGTCATTAATAATTTCAACTATTGATGATTTTTTAGTGGTCCCAACTATAGAGATCATTTTTCAAAAATGATTTTTGACATGTTAGAACCTGGTATAACAGGTCATTTTTAAATGTGAAATATGTGTAAGTTTTAAATAATCCTAATTATAGTTGATCTTTTTTATTAATCTCAACTATCAACTCTCAATTGTTTGAAGATGTAACTTTTTTTTTATAAAATTCCAAACTAAATATTTTTAAACGTGTATAAACAATTACAAAAATTATAAAAATGTACTGAAGTTAAATAAAATATTTTTAGTCTATTTTTTGAGTTATTTCCACAAATTGTTTTTCCATTTTTCTATTTTGTTTTTCCCAGTTATATTACCAATTTATTATTTTGTACTCCCTCCGTCCCAGAATTAACTTCGGTTTTGACTGGGCACGGAGATTAAGAAAGTGGGAAATGTGTGGTGGAGAGTTGTGCAGAGGAGAGAGAAATGTGTAAGAATGGTTGTGAACCACAAATCCTTTGCTAAAAAAGGAAAGAGGAGATAAATTTGGGACGGACCAAAAAGGAAAGAATGAAGATAATTATGGGACGGAGGGAGTATTATTTTCCTTTATTCAAAAGTGCACTGTTTTCAAAAAGTAAATAGTGATTAAAACTTTATTTATTAATTTTATGCTATCTTAAATTTTATAACTTAAATGTTCTATTTTTTCATTTATTTAAGTATTTATAGTTCTTTTCTAGTTTCTTTATTTATATTATTATATTCTATAAATTATATTATATAGTTTATCATTTAATTTTAGTGATTTGGGGTATAGGTTTTGGATGTTTTGACTATATTTATTGAAAATGTATTTATATTATAATTTTAAGTGATACAATGAAAACCACAAACATGTTGAAAAAGTGTACCAAAATAGTAATTATAATCACAACTATTTTGGTAGGTAGAAAGAGTGCGGACCTTGGTAAACAATTTTTTATCGCCATTTCAAGTTATTCACATTTTAACATTGGAAGAAATTAAAAATACTAAAATGGAATAAATAAAAAAAATTAGATTTTTAGATTAAGGTAGAATAAAGATCTAGATTGTAAAAAAATTAATCACAATTTACTTTCTGAAAATAGAAAATGTAAATTTGAATAAAAGAAAATAATACTAAATCGTAAATTGGTAACATAATTGTGAAAAACAAATTGGAGAAAAAGACAAAATGAATTTTTAGTGGAAATAAATAAAAATGACTAATTGGATTTATTTAATTGAGGTACATTTGTAGAGTATTCGTAATTAATTTTTCAAGCTTAAAAATATTTAGTTTGGAAATTTGTAAATATTTTTACATCTTCACAAAATTTAGAATTGATAGTTAGGATTAATAAAAAAAGGTCAACTATAGTTGGGATTATTTAAAGCTCACACATAGTTCACATTAAAAAATGACCTGCTATATCAGGTTATAACAGGTCAAGGACCATTTTTGGAAAATGGTCCATATAGTTGGGGCCACCCATGAATAATCAATAGTTGAGATTATTAATGGAGGGAACGACAATAGTTGAGATTATTATTTTCAGTTTTTCCTATTTATATTTCACATTTTTCACTTCTTTCTAGTTTTAAGCTTATAAACTTGTATTGCTTATATCTTATTGATATTGATATAAATGTGTAAATTTGAAAAAACAAAAAAAAAAATAATAATTGTTTAAAAGGATGAAATTTGAGTCTTTTTTAATAAAAGTAAAAGAATAGGATAGTTTTGTGAATCTGATGGTAGTTTGGGACATAATAAACTAATGATCCTATATTTTATATATTAATGTATACATAATACTCCATATGAATTAGATTTGATAAAAATATTGTTAAATCCCTCTCGTTTTAAATTTTAAAAAAATGATTTTACTTTGAAAAAAAATTATTAATGAAAATGAATGTTGTAATGGTCAAATTTGTGCATTTACAATCATAAAAATTTGACCGTTATGACTAAAAATTACAGAGAAAGTATATAATAGGAAAAAAGGTGAAAACTTCAAAAACATGATGAATTAAGGTATTTAGTGCCCAAAGAAATGAGAACATCAAATTGGAATGGAGGGAGTAATATTTTTCAAACTCGAAAACGAAACATATACATTCGCATAAATTTTGATAATCATGTGGGTGCAATGATCATTTTCTTTAGGACTTTGGAAAATTGAGAACTAATAAATTTTTATATAAAATCATTCGTAATAACTTGAAACAAATCATTTGGAATAACTAGAGGTTGAAATTTAAAAATTTCGCCCGTTCATTAACAGAGAAAGAACAAAGGGGAAGAAGGAGGAAGTGGAGAAGGACAAGGAGAAGAAAGAAGAAGAAACCTTGAACTGCATCCAATCAGTGTCCTCGGATGGCGGGAAATTGATTGTTCTAGCGATGGAAATGCCTATGTCGATCCTCTAGCAGCAACGATTGATGGATTTTCCCTTGTTTTAATCAATAAAGCGACACAATTTGGAATCGGCACACCGTGCGCACGGTGGCTCGATCCCACGGTATAAATCGTGTTAGCGGCCTAGAATTGTTTCTGCACTCGAGAAGTTTCCTCGACAGTGAGTATTAATTTTCTTGCCATATCAGCTAAATTAATTATATGAGAGACTATCTACATTGGAGGAGGATATAAATAAAAGATGCCTAATATAGTGAGGTGGCGTACATTTTTGCGGATGCTCTTACCCGTAAAAATGAGTAGGCTCTTCTCATTCAAATCAATTTTCTACTATGTATGTCTTTTACGGGAGACATTATATGTGAGATCCATCACAAATTCATTCCTAAGACCAATATAACATTATTTAAACTAGTAAAAACCCATTTACACCTTGTTTGATTTGTGTGTGTTTGATTGGAAGAATAAGAGAGCAAGTGGAGGAAAACATGCAATTTTCAAAATTCTCCACTCCCTCTCATTTTCAACCCTCCCAATCAGGGCACATCGGAGAAAGATTTTGTTGTAATGTGTGGAAAGTGGGAAAATGGAAGAAAGAAAAAAAATGTGATGAATCATTTTTTTTGAAAAACTTGACAATAATAATCTCATTTTGATCGGTATTCTCATAATAGTCACACTTACATGATCCCAGAATAATCCCAACTTTGCACCACACATTCATTCGTTGGACCCTGACCGGTTGATAATCTACTATA